ACTTTTATACAAAGAGGTATATTATATATATATAGATGTATAAAAGTGTATAAAGATGTATAAGTACAATAGTGAAAATGTTAGTGATACACCATGTATATAGGTGTAGTAGTTGAAGAAGAAGAAGAAGAAATGTGAGAAATCCACCAAATACCTGTAAATAATGTATCAACCTTGTATAAAATAATGTATAAGAGGTGTTTATACACTATTATACATTACTTATACACTATTATACGAATGAATCCTATTAATGGAGCTTCACATGTTCTTCTTCTTCTTTGGGCATCTTCTGAAATTCAACTCAAATCTAGCTCAAATCTGCTCCAAATCACTTCAAATTTGAGTTTTGAACTCCCCTTGATGATCCCAATCAATTGGGCCAACACCCAATCCAAACAACTAACAAAATCGAGAAATCCAATTTCTGAAATTGAACCTTCGAACGACCTTTAATGGTGACTCCAAAATAATAATTCTCTTTAGTGGTATTTTTTCTTCTCATCTTAATAGTGATTATCAACTTTGAATCTGGAAGGAAAATTGAATAATATATATAATGGTAGAGAAATTTTGGGGTGCAAAGTCGTGAAAGAGGAAGAAGAAGAACGAAGAAAAAAAAAATAATTAAATAGGGTGGTCTAACTGATGAAAAATAATTTTCAGATTATGTATAACCTGGATCATATCAAGTAAGTGCTTCAAATGTGGGCCATTTTTAGATGGACCGTTGGACAAAGTGACAAGGAGCGTAATTAGGCCGGAAGGACAACTGAGGAGCACCTCCAAACATGGTTCCACCAGGACCAGATATCGCTTCATAGAAGATCTTCCAGAGGGTCGCCAGTATTCAGAGGAATTGTTCCTTAATTTAACAAACTCCGATATATTGAGACTTGGCAGTTGGCATTAACTCCTTGGCACTTACAGATTAACCAAACGTAATGCATCGAACGAGCCAAAAATGCCCATTTAGAGCATGCGAGATTCTAAGGAGCAATTACACTAGATTAACACTTACATTTACAATCATCTATATATATATAAATTTTATCCACATTATAAATACCACCTTCCCCTTCGTCACGATTGTATCCCGTTAGAAATCACACACTCTTTTTGTTATTATACTGAATTACCTACTGTATTGGTAGAATTTCGGCCATACGATGACCAGGGGGTCAACCCCATCGCGACTAATTTATAGCAAATGGTCAACGCTATTGATTCTTGATTTATGACAGCTGTCCTTAAGATGAACGAGAGGATTATGGACCTTTCGCAACAAGGGGACGTCTCCACAGCCGAAAACGACGTCAACTCGTGGCCAGCTCACAAAGCTTGAAGCTATAAATACCAAGAGAGAGAACCTCTTCGAGAGGGGCTTCTCCAATGGGCAGAGAGAAAGTATTTAACACTCCATTCTCTCTCCTGATTCTTGTCCTCCTGGGCCAAAACATAGAACATTCTTGGTTCTGAGAATAAAGGGAAGAATGCTCCATCACGTTGAAGAAGACGTGAGAAGTTCAGAAATCGACAGGCTCTCGACCTCTTTCCAAGGAAAGAGGACAATGACCTGCAAAAAGGAAAGCCAAATCTGTAATCCTTGAACCTCTCCAAGGAGGGGCAGGGTCAATTTCTCCAATCAATAAAGCTTCCTGAGTATTGCTTAAATGAAAATGGTTGTCTTGTTGCTTTAATTCCAGATTCAGTATTAATTATGATTGGCTATGATTTACCTTTGATTCATTTTGATTGTTTTCGCTTATAAAGTAATTAGTATCTTTTGAGCTAAACACCTACTGATTTTGCCCTAAGCATTTCGATCAACCGCAATTATCAATAAGAATTTCTTTTATCTCTTCTTTATTGATTTTACATTGTTCGCCTATAATTGTTTGATTCATTTATATTTTTTACTACTAGTTTCTCCGCACGTGCATTGCATGTGTATTTCGAGTCCATATAGTACACGAAAGCAATCAATTGCTCATATACTAACTCTGAAAAAGATTAAATATTTAACCTATTTATATTTTTTTCAATTTATTTTTGTAAGAGATATCCATTAAGTCTCTTAATATGGTGGTCAATGTATATAAAGTTTGCACTAAAATTACTATATCCTTTGTTTACCTTCTTAGATAGATAATAGATCCAAGATAATTAAAGAAGTTTTATACCGCCTATCCAAGGGTATATCCTTATGCAGGGTTGGAACAGACACATCGCGAGAGATATAGACATCAATCAATCTTTTTGCAATTGATACAAAGTGGCAATAGTTGGTGATGCTATGGTTTTAAAATCTTGAATAAAGAATTGAGCGGAAAAACTCAAAAGAAAGATCTGTAGCTTTGTAAATTGTTGCATTGATAGCACACAACTGACATCTAATATTCCCTAAGCCATTTTAGCATCTAATTAGGAGTTTTTTGGGGATTACAAAGAGTTTTTAGCATTTTCGAGAAATCCAAAAAACAGTAACTACAATCCAAGCTCTAAGTAAATTGAATAAATAGGAGTGCTAAAACCACAATTCATGGAAAAAAGCAATCCTAAGAGGTTCATGAACTCTGTTATCACCTTAAGCATAACGCCAAATTAAACAATTATATTATTAATACATGAAGGAAAATCCAAAAAGAATTAGTTAATGTGTGCATCCTGACACCGCTACTAGAGTCATTATACATTTATTTTTTTTCTCCAATAATATCGTTGACCAGAAAATCTTCCTAAAGGGCATATTACAAATTCTCTTTACATCAAACGTCCTACTTGGTCAATTCCAATGTAGACAGTTTGCACGCTAAAGATGTAGTGTGGAGGCACTTAGTTCTTTTTGAAAATTTTCGTTTTCCAAAACACTTTAAGGTAATTTTTTTTGGTTCAAAGCGACACCAACGTATGGTAAATGACGCAACGATTCAGATATCACATCCTTACAAGTTGATTTGCAATTATCTATAATAAGCAATTACTTTATCAGACAAAAAATATTCCGCGAGAAAAAGCGACTATAAAGAAACTTTGACTATACTTTAAATCATGAAGGAAAAAATATATATACTGTGAGAGACTAAGGGTGGAAGAAATGGTGCAATGTCATGAATTGCAACGGGTATGACAACTTTTTGTTATTAAGGAGATAGAGAATGAAATTAAATAAGTGACAAAATATTTACAATAAATATGCTGGTAGAAATAATTAAAGAAAATACATATTCGATTTACCTTCCCATATTTGCTCAAAAGAAGTATAGGGTGAGGAATGAGGATGAAAGAAATGGTGCAAAGCAATGAACTTCATCCGGATGAAATTCTTTTGTTAGTAAGGATTGAGAATTTTTTTTGGAACCCCAGGAAAACCCGCAGCCGCTACAGCCTCTGCCCTTCGGGTGAGCACTTTGTGGCGAGCACTCTGTGCGCACTGGGTAAGCCCCCCACTGTGTAATAGCCTGCAAACCACACAGGGAATATAAACCGCACTATGCAAGCCCCGTGCGAGAGGCTCAAACCCAGAAGGCATTGAGGGGGGATCGAACCCGCGTCTCCCGTGTGGAAAACTCCCTCCAAACCCACTCCCTTTATAATAAGTGACTTCAAAATTTCTCACACCATTTAATCATGAATCGGTGGTAACACTTCTAGAGAGCAACTTAGAAACAAGCGTATTCATATGAAGCGGTGTCTTCTAGTTTAGTTTTTTAAAAACAAAAAAAATTAAATAGGATATTTATTAATAAAAGGGCAATAGCTAATTCAATGTATTAAGTAATTATTATAAGGGCAATTTTTGTTCAACTTTTAACTTTTGAAATTCCCACTTTATAATAATTAGAAGATTATTTTACAAAACTAAGAAAATGGGAATAACCTTATATGTTGTTTATGAAGGTTAACAAGGTTTAATGATTATAATATAGAAGGGATAAAGGCCTAATTTTTGAAGAATGAATTGTGTGTAAATACGGTTAAAAGTCTTATGCATCATTGACATTTAAAATATGGTTAAAGACTTCATGCATTATTGGCATTTATATAGATATGATTATTTCACTAAAAACAATGGAGAAATTTAGTTACTTACTAACAGGACACAACTTTTATGAAAGGACACTTTAAATTAATTTTATTCTTAATAAATATTCATTATTAAATAATACTTAAATTATTTAAAAGAGTATTTTGATAATTCAACTTTCTAGTTTAGGCCTTCCCACTTTTATAATAATATACATAGATAGATTAATGATCGATTGTTTACCCGTAAAATAACATAAATTCATAGACACATGAATTATCTTGCCAAAAATATAAACTAATCGAGAATGAAATCAAGAATATAAAAAATAATTTAAAGAAATACAAGCCTGCTGGTATGAAGAGCCGGAAGCAATTATATGAACAGAATTAAGAACAAAGAAAGAGTAATTTTATAATTTGAGAGCATAATATAGCCTTTGTGTATTGATAATTTTTCATGGCATACAATGGATACCAATTCTCCTATTTATAGTTCTATTTGAGGGAGACAAGATCCTCAAATCAAGATCCTCTTGAATGAGAATAAAACCGTCATTGATGGTTGCATAACGATGACCATAAATCAGACAAGATCTAACCGAAAGTTTTACTTTCAAATCTTTATTCTCGGATTTGACACCTTCGAAACTCGCTCAGCACCGGTTACATGTTTGCACCTGGTGCCAACTATTTGTTGACTCGCATCTTACCTGTCTTTAGTTGCACGTGTCATCTCGTCATTTGTCCAACTGTCACTAACCAAGTTCTACGTGTCATCTCGTCATTTGTCCAATTGTCGCTAACCTGTTTTACCCCAATTGAAATAATTGCTTGTGGCCTAATTCTATAATCTTAATTGATTAACTTATTATCCAAATTTTAGGTTAATCAATACTCTTTCCAATTAAATTGAAAATTTTCCTTTAATATTTAATATTTACTTTTATAAAAAGAAAATTCTTCGGAATGAAGCTGACAGGACACGAGTATCAACTATCAAGTACTCCTCCAAGGCTCGGTACTGGTTGCAGTGAACACAAAAACCCTAGTTTGGGTGTCCTCCCAAACCCCAGAAAACACCAAACCGAAAGGAAAATGGCAGAAACAGGACAGGACGAAGAAGAACACACATTACCAGTGAAGAGAAAGCCCCAAGATATTCCTGCAGCTGCAGAAGAAGAAGCTATTTCCAAATCCCTGGAAGACGATGATGTAAACAAGAAGCAAAAACTCGCAAGTACTGATTCAAACAAACTAGAGGAAATTGAAGAGGAGGACGAAGAAGAAGATGAAGATGACTATGAAGGTGAGGAGGATGAGGAAGACGATGATGATGACGCGGAGGAGGACGACGATGAGCAGTCCAACGGAGAGGCCGAAATCGATCGTAAGGGTAAGGGGATTTTAAGGGATGACAAGGGTAAGGGAAAATTGATCGAGGAGGACTCCGACGACGATGATGATTCGAACAATTTTGGAAGCGAGTCTGATGTTGACAGTGATACTGACCTCTCCGACGATCTACTGGCTGAGGTCGATTTGGGCAACATTATTCCCTCCAGGACTCGACGGCGTACCTTTCACTCTGGTCTTAAGATTTCTGATGATCCCGCTAAAGGTGATAAACCCTGATGGTAGCGATTCTTAATTCAGTTTTTGAGCTTCCAAAAAGCTATTAAAATGATTAATTTCAGCTCATCTCTCCTCGTAGTAGCAATGTGGTTAAATAGTTGTATTCCTCCTGTATTTTGACTTGGATCTACATGTCTAATGTAGTTGGGGAATTATTAATCTCTATTTCTCTTGCAATTGTTTTTTTGCTTTTGCTTATTTTCCTGATAGTTTGCTTCGAAAGTTGCTATTTGTAGCAAGTGCGGCATCTTCTATCCTTAGGCTTTGAGATTGGCTTATATGAATTTGGTGGTAGGATAATATCGGTAAATGAATGTTTATTTGACACGAATGTTCACTATCTAAGATAGGAACTGAATAGTCTAACTGATGTTTAACGTGCCAAGGTTACTCTTTGATCATGTTTAAGATGGGTACCGAATTGTCTAACAGATGTTTATCTTGATGTGGCCATGTTTTTGTACATGCATTTCTAAAGGAAGAATTGGTCTCTGTTTAATGCAATCGCTGCCCTTTAATGTCAATCAGGTTATTCTGCGTTGCAAGAACTAGGCATTTGGATGTTATATAATTCTTGATGCTTAATAAATTTGTTTACCAAACTTTAACTGCTGATTTTGTCATCTCATTTCCATTTCACGTGTGAAAAATTATGATGTTAATAATGTTAATTTTTTAGCCAATTCTTTTGGTTGTTCAAGGAAAGCCAGCATCTGGCAGAATAAGATGTTCTCTCTGCATGACCTAGCTCGACTGGTTATCAGTTTTGGTTCGTTAGCAGTAAGTTGAAAATGGCCCTCTGCCTGGTATATGATCTTTGTTAGGAAGGAGTAATTCAACATATGATAGTAAGCATTTGGAATCTGATACTCAGCAGAAATCTACAAAAAAGAGGGCATACATGACCAGGTTATGACTGTAAAGTTTGCGCCTAATGACCCTAATCTGAATTTAAGGAGGATTACTGTTGTTGGTTAAATCACTTGACAACTTGTTAGGCATCAAAGTAATCACTTGGCAGCTTGGTTTAACATAACGGTCTATACTCTATTGATTTGATAGACCAAAGTTTGCCGGGGAATAAGATTTTCATCAAAGGAGTATTTGTTTTCAACAAAATGTTGACCTTCTGAAAAGGCAAAAATGAAGATGGGGGAGGCGTGCTGGATTATGCTCCATTTAGGACACTCTGCTTAAGCAAAAGTTTTGTTTTTCTAGTGTCTTTGCAGTGGCATGATGGATATTATAGTGCTGTTCTGTTTTGGTAATAAAAGTTTGAATATATATGTAGAAAGTGAAGTAGTTAATTTGTTGAGGATACTAATGTGCATTGATCTTTAAGAGATGAGAACTGATCACTTTTTGCCAATGATAGAGCACGTCTTTCATTCACCAACTTCCACGTACCTTCGTTCTTTTGCTCATTTCTTGGGGTGTTGTATTATTACAAGTAAATGTGGCTAGATATTCTTGCGACTGTGGGAGTGGTGAACTGGTCACTCTTCAGACCAGAGTATTCAGCTGTTTTCTTCTTTATCTTGATTCCTCCAGTAGTGGAGGGTTGAAGGGCAAACAAATGCCCAGTCTTGGCAGTTTTGGTTGCATTGTATTCCCTGTATAGCAGATACCTGTAATTAAGTGGAGTATTACTCTGCTTCTTTCTTCTCCCACCTTCTGGTTAACAGCAGTAGAGAAAAACTGCAGTTCAGATCAGCCTTTAAATTGTTTTGCACTTTACCTTTGATCATAATGGCTATAAACATCACTTTTTTAATGTAATGTTGGTAAATAGATTTGTGTAGTTTGATGATCCAAACCCCACGTGTGGGATTTTACTGGGTTGTTGTTGTTGTTGTTGTTGATGATGATCCAATTCCAAACCCCAGGGCAGCTGGTTAGCTGCTGTCAATTGTCGTGCTGTAGAAGTTTGAGATGATTGAGCTTGGAAGTTGGATTCGGGATATGAGAACCTTTCAAATTGGTAGTGAGGCTGCAACTAATGCTATGGATGCTTTTTAAGTTTTCAAGTTATCAATGCTTAGGATCCACACTACCATTGATTGCGAAATTTTTCATATTTTTTATTAATACTCTTCAAATGAGAAACTTTTCTTATTTTGAATATTGGGTGACTGATAACTGTAGGATCTTTTTTTTTTTGTGTGTGCGCGCGCGTGAGAGAGAGAGATTAATCTGCAGGCAAGATGAAGAGTCCAATAATTAAATTCAGAAAAAAGAATTCAAAGCTCAACCGAGGGAGCTTTACCAATTAAAGAGCAACATTTAACACTCGAGAAGATGACTAACTTTGCTGATTAAGAAGAGTGCACGATTTGTTGCTGATATATTTATTCGTGAAGTCGTCGTCAAAACATTAGATTAGGTGACTGCATGTCAAACTTAAGTCAAGTCCCATTATTATATAGTACTACGATTAAAGCATGGAGGTGCGCATAAAATTAGCCGTAAGGTGGGGTTCCTCCTCTATGTTTTTTTTTTTTTTTTTTTAAATTTTTAGTAAGAAAAGTTATTGATCACTCACTGTGCCAGTTTCGATACCAAAAACGTAAAAGGAATCTTCTTATATAGTCACTTGAAAAAAGAAAGAAAGAAGAGTTAACTCGAGGTATTGAGAAGTGACAAGGGGCGGAAGGGGTTAATCCAAATCCGTTTCGTAGGCAAAATTCATTGGGGTTCATCCGAATCCCCTTCGTAGGCAAAATCCATTTGTATATATATTATATTTTGAATTTCGTTAACATAATCCAAAAATAAAACTAGTGGTTAAGGGTTCAAAATCTTTCATTTAATGGTTAAGTTGCCGTTTCATTCCCAATGCCTTGTTTACTTGTAAGCTACTATCTGATGTGATTGAATACTCCACGTTAATAACAAGAGATAGAAATGAATACTAGTATTACTCCCTCCGGTTCACAATAAGTGTCCAATTTACTTTTAGCACGCCCATTAAGAAAATACTAAATTTTATAGAAAATACCTACTATGACTAAACTACCCCCTAATTAAACATTTAATGTGAGGAGTAAGAAAACCTTTTAGGGATATGTACATAGGGGTTATTTTGTAAAAACAAATTGAATTCTTTCTTGATTACATAACTGGAGACTTATTTTGAACCAAAATGAAAAAGCAAATTGGACACTTATTGTGAACCGGAGGGAGTAGTAAATAAATGGACCATAATGGTTTGTACAATGCTATAAAATAAAGAGAAATTTTCACAAACCACTATTGTTTAGTGGTTATTAGCTAATTGTAGCTATCATTTACTATATTACTTCCTATAGCTATGTTCTCAGTTTTGCTAGAGTGTATTCGATGTATTTAAGCTACTGTATTCATGAATACAGTAGCAAAACTTGGCGTGAAACAGGGGAGTACAGCTAGGCAATTAATGTACTCGACTATATTCACGATATGTATTTGTGAATACAGTAACGTAAATAGCGTAAATCGTAGTCTATTCAGCTATTTTTAAACAGAAAGTGAATCAATTAACACAAATCTAATATAACTCAACTAACTCAATTATAAATCTGAATTACATAAATACATCTGAATACACAAATTATATTAATTAGAAAAATATATGAATACATTCATGGAATATAGTGAGACAGTGAATACAATGAAATAGATACATTGAAATACAATGAAAAAAAAGATAATGAATACAATGAAACACATAGAATACAACAAGATACATTGAAATACAATGAAAAAAAGGGTAACAGACTCTTCAAGTTGCTCAGCCCCAAACTCCGTCGTCTTTATTGAAGAATAACCCTAATGTCGTCTCGTCGATAGCAGATTTCGAACCTCCATTGTCATCCCCAATTTACCCTATGTCGTTACGACATTGATACGAAAGAAGATTGGCATTAATGGAGAGAAAGTGGAGAAATAGAAGGCAACTTTCCTACTAGTAAAAAGAGGGGAGAGTTTAATCTTTTTCTTTTTACAGGTTTTAGATTCTTTCGCCAATGAAAGAGGATTTGTTTAGCATAGCTGCCATTTTCGTTCAGCCCCAATTTACCTTTCAATAGCAGATTTCGAACCTCCATTTTTCTCTGTATGGCTTGATTTCGACATTGATTTAGAGCCCAAGCCACTGACAATAAAAATTTCGTTCGACAATGGAGATGAATCAGTGGAGAATCATGGTTGTATTCATGGAGAAAGACTGGCGTTTAGAGAGAGAGAGGGGTGGAGAAAAATCTGAAAGAATGAGAGAGAAAAATAATACAAAGCATATTTTATGGCTTAAGGGTAGGAGGTGACCATAAACAGATATTTGGCTATAAAAATCAAAAGGTAGCTATGAAATATAATTTTTTAAAAGGGTATTTATTTAAATAAATAAGGTATCAACCTTTGCTACAGGAGGTAAAAATACCTAAAATAAACCCGAGTTACACAATATTGTGGTCTGCAAAGGCTGTAGGGCAATGGGGGAAGTGCATAGTTAGCCACTAATTAAAGATGTCTTTACTCTTAGCCACTTTTTAAAATGTATTTACTCTTTAGCCAGTGCTTAATAAGTTTTTACCCGCCCGGACAAAAATACCCTTGTGCTAGACATGTGTGATGTGTAAATATTAAGGACATGGTGTCCTTAACTTCATGAATGAAGTATAAATATTAAGAGCGAAGTGTCCTGTATTTGCACCTTCCGTTGTTAAACTTTAGGACATCATGTCCTTAACTTCATAAGTGCAGTGTAAATATTAAGGACTTGGTATCTTTAACTTCATGTGTGCAGTGTAAATGTTAAGGACACAATGTCCTTAACTTTATGAGTGCTGTGTAAATATTAAGGACAAAGTGTCTTATGTTTACACCTTCTGTAGTTAAACTTTAGGATACCATGTGCTTAACTTCATATGTGTAGTGTAATGTTAAGGACATGGCATCCTTAACTTTATGTGTTCAGTGCAAACGTTAAGGACATCATGTCTTTAATACTTACACAACACTCGTGAAGAAAGTGTAAAAATATTTTTTCGTATTAATTTTAATAGAGTAGTGACTATTTTTGCTCAGCGCTAAAAATATTGGATAAAAACTAAATACCATATTAAAAAGTGACTATCCACGCCATTTCTACTAGGGCAATCAATAAAATTTATCCGCACTTCAAAATTATATCAAACCAATATTTGTATAAAATATTTATTTTTCTCACTTAATTATATTTATTGTTATTTTAATCTTTCAATAGTTAAAACTACCAGGCCAATCGGCCTTGGACTTTTCGTAAAATCATATACCGCCCAGCTGGGGAGGCCTTGTTCACCCTTGGATTCAGACCTTGGCCTCCGGCCCTGTCCATTTGGAGGAGCTTCGTCTTAAGCGAATGGTGGTTTCCGATGAGAGCCACCGCCTTCTTTCTCGATCCTTTTCTAATTTCAAGTCTTTGTTTTTTGTTAGCTGTCAAGGTTTCTCTACCGATCGTATTGCCGCCATTGCTTCCAATTGCAGGAGGAATCTGCTTATGGATTCGGGTATGACTCTACTACTGATAACTACAATGGTATTAGGATTGACGTGTCTGGGGATGAAAGCGCTAATGAAATTCTGGCATTAAAGAGTGGTTCCTGGAGAAAAATTGATCCAACCTCAGGTAGGTCAGATAGCTCTTTGTTGTCTATTCGGGAACGTGCATTTCATTGGCTTGGTATTTTATCAAGGCTTTCCGTGGTTACGTTTAATATTTCAGATGAAATGTACGGAGAGATAGCATTGCCAGAGACCATGTGCTTGCTCCCTTTATTTAAAATCAAGATTGATTTTGATGTGGGCGCATCAGTGTTGGGAGGAGAGCTTTGTGTTTATTACACGGACGAGAGAATTTTTAATTTATAGGTGATGAAAGACTATGGTGTTAAAGAATTTTGGACAAAATTATTTGTTGTACCAAATAATGAAATTGAGGGTATCGTACCAATATACAAGTTTTCAGATGGTGAAGTACTATAGAACACTGACAAAAATTGAATATAGGATAATATCCGGTCGTTCAGTTGGATTAATCAATCGAATGTGGCATAGGATATATAATATCCGGTGGTTCAGTTGGATTAAGCAATCGAATGTGACCTCTAGATTGTGATGATATTGATGACAATGGTATTGTTCAATTTGTCTATACGGAAAGCCTGATCTCTCCGAAATTAGGTCATTAGATTATGTCGTTCACCGTCTAGATAATAATTATGACTCTCATTGCTTAGTACTATATTATTATTTGCTTATGCTAGATCGAGGCACTTTTTTCTTGTTACTACAACATGTTATTCTTATAATTTTATCTACTGCTTTGAAATGTAGTTTCTTTTGAAATTGCTTGCCTTCAATTTCATGTTTTCTAATTTTATCTATTCTTATTCTTATATAAGAAGAGGGTTTACTTGAGTCCGTTTGTTCTAAGTTGATTGTTTGATTCCAGATTGATAGTATATGATTTTGGTGGGACAAATAATTAATACTCATTGAATTGAATTGGCTTTAAGGATTTCAGAGATATATACCCACATTATAATGATTTTTTTTTATTTCATATGTTAATTTCCATTTATTTTAAATTCATAATCACTATTATTAAATAGAATTATCTGTATTTATCTTTTAAGCGATCTGATTATGCAATTATTATTTTATTTATACCGTAAGTGCATAGAACTTAAACTCATCGAAAACAATAATCTTTCTCAAATAAAATGTCCTTGAAGAATCTCAATAATATATATAATCACCGAGATCAGCAATAATTTCCTAGTAATTCTTAAGAGGGGTTTGCGCTTGACTAGGGGCGGCAAATGGGGGGTTGGGCTGAATTTGGGCGGGTCAAGATGGATTAGGCCAATAAATGGGTCATTGCCCAACCCAGCCCAAAGTGTAATTGGGCTAAGATGGGCTGGGTCAAGATGGGCTAAACAATGGGTCATAACCCAACCCGCCCAACTTGACCCATGTTTTAGAACAATGCTCATTTTGCATAAAAAAAACCTTTTACCTTAAAATGTGTAAGTTGAAAAAAATTTTGGGGAAGGGGTAGGGGCGGGGTGGGTGGGGGGTTTGGGCGGGTGGGTGATGCAGAAAAAATGAAAAAAAAAATAGAAAACAGAAAATTAAAAATTAAAAAAAAAAGTAAAAAAATTTTTTTGAGGGGTTTGCGGGTGGTAGGGGGGGTGTGGAGGGGGTTGGGTGTGGACGGGTGAGGGGTGAGTACAGAAAAAAAATTGAAAATTAAAAATACAAAAAAAAGTAAAAATATTTTTTTGAGGGGGAGGGGGGGTGGGCAGGGTGGGGTGGGTGAGTGGTGTAGAAGAAAAAAAAATAGAAAATTGAAAATACAAAAAAAAAAGTAAAAAAAAAAAAATTAAGGGGAGGGGGGTTTGCAAGGGGGTGGGGTGGGAGTAAGGGTGTTTAAACGGGCCGGGTCAGCCCGATTCCGGACCGGCCCAGACCGGTTAAACCCGGAACCGGCCCGGACCGGTTAGAGGGGGCTGGGCTGCGCTGGTAGGGGGGTAGAGGGGGTTGGTCCGTTTAGGTTAGTGAAAACGGGTAACCGGCCCGGTTGAACCCGATCCAGTGAACAGTAACCCTTACCGGGTTAAACCGGCCCGGTTCAACGGCCAAAAATTTTTTTTTTTTTTTAAAATTTTCGAAATATGTGGGCCCCACTGACCGTTGGCAACGGTCAGACCTTGAATTGGTCCGTTGGCCAACGGAAATATTGCATAAATAGCCTTTTTTTTAAAATAATTTTTAACCCTTTTTCAATTTACAAAACTAACCTTCTCTAAAATTATAAATACCCCCCCCCCCCCTTCTTCTTCATTTCTTCACTCAATACTCATTTCTCAATCTCAATTTCTCTCATTCTCTCATTNTTTCAATTTACAAACTAACCTCTCTAAAACTACTAAATACTCCCTACCCCCCCCCCCCCCCTCCTTCCTTCATTCTTCACTCAATACTCATTTCTCAATCTCAATTTCTCTTATTCTCTCATTCTCCAATTTGCAAGACTTCAAGTCTCAATCTCAAATTCTCAATTCTCAAATCTCAAGTTAAATCATGCCTCGTACTTCTAGAGTGCGCTCATATGTTTGGCAACACTTTGAGGTGGTAGAAGAAAATGAAGGAGGTCAGAAATTAAAGTGCAAGAACTGTGGTCAAGTCTTAAAATTTCGTTCAGAGTGTGGCACAAGCAGTTTAAGGAGGCATATAAAGTATTCTCTTGAGCGTCCTCCGAAAATTCGTATTTAAGATTTTTCGACATTTTGTGTTATTTTAAAATTATTAGACGTATTTATGCTTAATGTTTTAGTTTGTTAGATTAATTTGAAGTATTATTAATTTATTATGCATGAAAATTTAATTTTACTATTTTTTTGTTAATTTACTTTTTAAATGCAAACTTTAATTTTGAATTTTGAAATAAATGTAGTACTTGCAATTTATAAGTGCAATTTTTTTCCATATTCCTTGTATTCTTTAAATTAATACAAAGTATTAATATAACTTACAATAGTTATACAAAATTCCAAAACAAAACTTAAAAATACACTAAACCCGGCCCGGCCCGGCCCCCTCAACCCGTAACCCTTACGGTTCAATTTTCATCCGGATGAACCCGAACCCGTTAAACCCGTTAAGAACCAACCCGGAACCGGCCCGGACCGTAACCCGTACGGGTCCAATAAATAGAGGCCCAGCCCGGCCCGACCCACCCGTTTAACACCCTTAGGTGGGAGGGGGGTGGATGGTGCAGAAAAAAAACAGAAAATTAAAAATACAAGAAAAAAAAAAGAAATTCTTTTTTGAAGGAAAGGGGGGTTTTGCAGGGGAGGGGAGGGGGAGGGAGGGCATGGGGGTGGATGGTGCAGAAAAACAAATGAACATAAAATTGAAAATACAAAAAAAGTAAAATTGGGGCAAATAAATAAATTTCTATATAAGTTGGGTTGAGATACCTTTTTGTTTTTGGTGAGTTTCATGGGTTGTATGTGCGCTGCTTAATGGGTCAGAATGGGCTGGGCTCAACCCAAATTGACCCATGAGCTAAAATGTTTGTAACCCAACCCATTAATCTCTGGGCGAGTTGGACGGGTTAGAGGGTTTGGGCTCAAATTGCCACCCCTACGCTTGACAATCCTAAAGAACCCGGTGCATCCCCTTTCTGCAATATGTTTTCTATAAATTAATTCTTTTGGTAGTCCGATCACCCAGGGGCAAATCTTTGTGGCCAAGGGTGGTCAACTGAACAACATTCGCTAAAAAAAATACTATGTATAAGGTAAAATATTACTTATTATTGATCAAAAATAGACGTTGAACTAGGGCTGTGCATAATTTGGTAAATACCGAATTACCGTACCGAAATCGAAAATTTTGGTATTTGGTATGGTATTTGGTTTAAGTTTTTAAAAAAATTGGTATTAGGTATGGTATTTGGTATTTTAAAATAAAATTCCAAAATACTGATACCGTACCGAAATATATATTATATTAGGCGAAATACATAAACAGCCCCTTCAAGTTGTACTCAACGGTCAGATGGACACCTCAATTATACTAATGACCAGAGAGACACCTCTTCTCGGCTAAAGTGTGTCTCATGAACCCCTCACGATGACATGGCAAAGTGTGTGCTTTTACTCATGTCTGGGCGCGTGAAACCCTCAAAATTATGTTTTTCTCTTTTTTCTTTTTAAATTAACCTTATTTTAATGACCCACTTACCTTGATCTTCATATTGATGAAAAACAAGAACAATTAAAAAGTTTCTTCCAAATTACAACAAATGAAAAAAACATAAAATAAGCACACAATTTCGTCCAATATATACTATCACAATTGCTTATACAATCAATCACAAGCATTATCATAATAATTAATTGGATAAATTAAATTTCACCATAATAATTAATTATGGTGAAATTTTGTTGCTCTTCTGCTCAATAAGGTCTCTTTTTTAAATCCTTCAATTACGCTTTGATTTAATTGATAATTCTTTTTTGTGTGCTCTGTTTTGGGTTCTAAAGTAAACGACATAAGTCATTTCTGCTACTCTTTTTTCAAAGAGTATGGAGAAGTTTGCATGTAATGGATCATCTTCTAGGATTTCTCAAAGGATACTTACTCAAATTTGTGTTGAACCTACATGTGTCTTTGCAATTTCAATTGATATTTTTCCAACTTTTTTCTTCATATACCCAGGAGTGAAAATTTTGGGGAGGAGGACGCGAAGCAGTGGTTGTAGCAAAGTGAAAATCACCTTCCAATTAAATTGTGGTGGTAATGTTTGAGGCTCCTACACGGCAAAAATTAAGACCAAGATCCAATAATTTTTTTAGTTCTTGGTCGTTCAAAAGCAGGGCTCGTCGGTTGTGTATTTGGTTAAGGGGTTTTAAGATGTTGAAGGGGTATGGGTCAATTGAGGTGTCCATTTGACCGTTGAGGACAACTTGAAGGGGTTGTTTATGTATATCGCCATTATATTACACAAAATATATATTATCAATTATAACATAAATATAAAAAATCTAAAATATTACTTTCCTTTATTCTCTAAGTTCATCAATTAACTATAAACAAGTAACAAGATATTTCTAGTGATCAAATATTCTTTTATATATAATTTTCTCTATTTGGGTCGATATTTGCTAGTTTTGGACAAAACTTTTGTCAACAAACATTAATAGTTTTGTATTTTTGAGTACTTTAATTAAGAATATTAGAGTCTATGGCTCTATGCACTAGTTAGTATTCAAACCAAATAAACCGAAGTTACCAAACCGAATATACCGAAACCGAAAGGAGAAAAACCGAACCATACCGAATTTAATTAGGTACGGTATTGGTATAGGATTTTAAGAAACCGAATACCGAAAATACCGAATCGAAATGTCTAAATATCGTACCGTACCGACTGACGAACACCCCTACGTTGAACACCCTTTGCATAGCCACTGGCAAAGGTTTCAAAATTTCGAACACCTTTATTGAATTTTCTGGCTTCGCCACTGCTATCACCGTCCAAATACTCTATAATAATGTGTTTGTTCCTGTCACATTACAGGTCAATTTCCTGCATCCAAATTACTCTGATAAAGATCCACGAATATATATAACGTGTATCTACGAAGAGATTGTAGATTTTGCACTAGTCAAGGAAGGCTTGTATTCTTGGCACTTAGCAAATGGCAAGCCTCATTGATCAATTTGCAGCAATGATATTTGTGGAGAAGGAAGACATAAGAGTGTATGTAATTTGTGTGGAGTTTGTTTCCTAAAAGAGGGGGAGAAACACCAAAGTTGGTAGCTCAAATGTCAGTGGAGATATTTAGACAAAACTTTTGACATATTCTCTGATAATGTGACTGAACAGCTCCACATCAATTCCATCCCAAATCACAATCCGAAAGTGCCCAAATTACGGGCTAAATCATTCTTCTGATTCAAATAATGATTACGCTTCTTACTTGGCTTTATATTCTCGTGTCATACTTGAGCAAAAGTGGGACTTTTTGTGAGCATAGTCAAAGCTATTCTATAGAATTTTAGAGTGCTTTACAGTTTCATAAGTTGATGTACATTTCGTCTCCGTAGCATTTTTTTAAGACATTCAAAATAAAGAAATATGCATTACTGGTTGACTACAATATTACAAGCATCCTGAAATGATTAGAACCTTAATTAAACCAGGTTGTCTTTGTCAGCCAAACAACTCTAATTGATCCATCATCCGACCAAGAAAATATTTCGCACCTCTTAAAATGGAAAGGCACAGATGAAAGTGTAAGAAAATGAAAATCGTTAATGCTCAAGAAGCATGCAACCACAAACAGGAAATCGCAAAACACAAAACTTAGGTATTCAAGTAACCCATTACAAAATTCTCGTAAAAGTGAAAATCTTAGCTTAGAGATCTGCCGAAGACTAACATCTCAGTCTAATTACCTGCTTGGATGTTGTTACAAAGTGTAAAAGTTAAAACTGGTAAATAAACTGATGTTTGACTAACGAGGAACACAAGATAAATCCTGAAGGTTCCAATTGATTCTTGCCGGAATAATGACCAAGACATCTAATTTGTATTCAGCGTTTCTTTTTGCTTGCGGACTTTGAAGGGCTCGCGATCAGGTAGACAAATAGAACCACAATTGAGATCACAGAAACCAAGGAGCCATATTTTGCCATCAACCTCTGTAAACACGGGGAGATAAAAATGAGGCCCTTATTCTCATAACTTACAAATATTTGCACAAAGCGCATCATATTCATTGAAAAACCATACTGCTTTATGAAGAAGGCAACACGTGGAACATGTAAGATACAGAAATTCTAAATTTAACAACACGTCTAACTTAGGGGGTGCTCTCAGAGAGAGATCAAATAGGATAAGTTATCAATGCATGCAGTTCTCATTCTCTCTAAATTCAGATATGCTTTTTCTATATCAGATAATGATTGATAACCTAGAAACTTGTTGAATTCTCCACTTTCTGTACATAATCTTATATAACAGTAAGCATTATCAAATCTAACACTATTACAGGAAGATGCCATACCTTTGCCTGTGAATATTCACCAAGATTTTTGGACAATCCATGCAAAAAAAGGAAATCTCTTAGCAAATACAATTAACAGAATATGTGTGATGTAGTTGTGCAGCCAGCTAACAGTTTTCAAGCTTACCCAGTCGAACTTCTTCTCCGGAGGCCTATCAGCTAGTATGTCAAGTGGGAGGATTGGAGTTGAGTATGCCTCCTAAAACAAAAACATTATAGATCAATGTCGTCCATATCAAGCACACTAAGTAGAACCATACAAGCAAGAATGTGAAACCTGTAGAGCAGCCTTTGTGGGAATGCGGAATGTTATAACCGCTGGTGCACCATAAAACACTGTTTTCTTCGTGGCCTCCAACTCAAAGGAATGGGAGAGAGCGGTCCCACTGACATCAGACAGGCAAACCAAAATGAGAAAGAGTCAAGATAAGGAAATCAAATTGTTAGATGCCACCAATAATATGAGGACTTACGCGTCCAGCCTTTCCCATGACATGGATGTGTTACCAGCAACAATGGTAAATACATCTTGAGACCAGTTGTCATCATAAAGACTCACATCATATGCCGTCCTGAACAAAAAAAAGCTTTTTCATGTCAAAGGCACATCATTGGTAAATGATTATACAGATAGCATATGACAGATATCTAGAGGTAGATCTCTGGGAACAATTTAGAGTGAAGTCGGTTGCACAAGAAAGGATAAAAAGAATCATGCAAGTCATTTCTAAAAAGTTTGTGAATTATTAGATTCCTCAACTTTTCACCAAATTGAAGCCAAGGGAATTAGTTCTAAGAAGTTTGTGAATCCTTAGATTCCTCAACTTTTCACCAAATTGAAGCCAAGGGAATTAGTCTATCCCACAGACGGTTCAGGAATGAGCACAAGGGTTGAATAATGCTGATGTACCGAGAGATTGCTAACAATGTGAAAAGAAAGTAAGAACACCGTATTAATCAAAAGGAAAACACTATTTTGACCAAAAACAATCCTCAGCACTCCTCTGGATGGTTGAATTATGTTGAACATTGTACACACAATAATTTTAGAGTCCAAACTATCAGCCTCCTATTATCAATCAAAGCCTGGAACAATAACGTTTAACCCTTCATTTAATTCATCTAGGTGTTAGTTTATCAAGCATTATAAAGTTTACTCATAGTTTATCAAGCATTATAAAGTTTACTCAACTGTTACCTGCTGGTGACAAGTCAGTGGCATCAGACAAGAATTCCAATCTCAAGCGTTAAGAAGGATCTTACTACAACCATAGATGATAGATAAACAACTATTCTAAACTGCAAATATAGGATGATAATAGACACAAAATTAAAGATGAAAGCTAATGTAAAGTGTGTTATATCTTTTACTCTTTCTATCCCTGACAATGTACAAATATAATGTTTAATTATTGAGGATGGGAGGTAAAGTCAAAAAGGGATTCCAATCTCTTCATTTGTAGTTTATTTGCTCATATTCCACGGATGCTTCACCTTCAAGAAGCAATAGAAAATTTTTCCGATCAAAACATAAATAAAAGGAAAACAATAAAAGATCTAATAGGGATTTCAACAAGAAAGGAATCCGATTTCCTGATCTGAAATTGCGATTCCCAATTAGGCAACAAGGATAGAAAAAGAAAAAAAAACAAGAAAGAAGATAAACTGATTACATTTAGTAACCCAACAAAACAACCAGATCGAGAGCATTCGCATTCCTATTTGGAAATGAGACAAAAGAAGACTGAGATTACACTAGCATGCATCATATAAAAAATTTCCTTACCAATTGAGCAAACTATTGTTGTACTTATTTATTAGCTTTGACTCCATAAATACGCCTCTTACTAGTATATTCAATGCTAACTACTCTGGATTATCTATCTAATCCTTTTCCTATTATGGAAACAGTATACGAGCTCAGATTAAATAAAACAAAATTATGCATAACATAACTATTTACCCAACCAACGCGCGGATCCTAACAACAGAATCTTCAAGGAAAGCAATTAATAGACATGCATATTTATTTAGCAAAGCATCGATGAAAGAAAAGCTAAAAAGAGGAAGTACAGGATCTGATAAAAAAAAAAAGAGAGAGGGACGGATGACATACGCAGATCCTTGATTGTAGATGTCGATGGAGACGGAGAGACGTTCGACGCCGGATTTGAGGCGAGTAAGAGACGCCTTCTTGTGTGCGACGATGAATGGCCCGTCGGTGCCGGCGGCGATGGTCCACGAGAAACATAATACAGCTAAGACCGTAGCTAAAAGGAACTTCCTCGTCCAATCCGCCATGTTTACAATCAGCTACAGATTCAGATTCAGATACAAATGATAAAAAGAGTCTTCAGCTGAGGGTCTTTGCATTTGGCATCGGAGATGGGCCACATGTCCCAATTTCATTGGTCTAGTCGCTCCCGATGACGCTGCTCTAAACTGGACTGGGCCTACACTGACATGGGTTAATTAGCAATGATGGATTAGGCCCAATGTTCAAGTCGGCCTTGTATTGAATTCGGACTCCTACAAATAGCCCCTTTTTACATTGCTCTTTAAGGTGCAGCCACTTTTTGCAAAGCTTTGCATGGGGTGGCCACTTTTGCAAAATCAGTCCCAAGGACTGTAATTGGACTCCATTCAGAATCGATTCAGGTCTGGAGCCTTTTTAATAGAAAAAAGGAATTAGCTAGAATGATCATTTTGAGGGTCTGTCATGAGTTTTTAGCCACTATTTAAAATGTAATGAGAAAAAAAAATACTCTTTTGACATTAAATAATATTTTGACAAAAATACCCCTAACTAGAACATAGAAAAAAAAATCATACAATGACTATTGAAATTTGGAGATTTCAGTAACAAGTACTGGAGTTTGACATGTAGTCCGAACTACGGTAACGAGTATTAGAATTTAGACTTTTTCCAATTGAAAGTCCAGGAACATTTCCTGGAGTTCAAATTTCTATCTTTGGTAGAATTGAGATTACATGTATTGCTCTCAATGATTACAACTTCATACGGTAACCATGGAATATGGCTTTCACCGAAGGCAAAACTTATGGTATTGTAAAACACGAAAACAAAAATCAAATATCATCACAATAATTCTTGGAATTTGAATTTAAAAATGTTCATAGTCCTTTGTGTAGTTTTGGAGTTTGAATTTTAAAATGTTCATAGTCCTTTGTGTAGTTTTCCATGTTTCAGCTGTGGGTATTTTTATTCAAATATTTTTCTGCAAAAAAAGTGGCTAAATGCTAATACCCTTTAATATACTGGCTAAACTCTAATAACAACTTGTTTCTGATTTCTTCACTAGTCCCTTGAGTAAGAACTTGGGCTTAATTGCTGGTTGATGTCTCTACATACAATCAAAAAACGAAAATATCGTGTCATTAAAGGCTTGTGATGGCATGTTGGAACCTATTTAAATTAGTTTAATCATTGTAACAACTTATTTACTATTTTTTCTAGATTATAAACTCATACTTATTAAGAACAATGGAAAGGCCAAAATTACGTGGAAGTGAGGCTTGACTCACAAGTCATCCCAAAGAGAGAGAGTTTCAAGTACCTAAGATCAATTATACTGGGAGATGGAGAGATCGACGCAGAGGTCACGCACCGTATCGGGATGGGGTGAATGAAATGAAGGTGAGCGTCTGGAGTCCTGTGTGACAAGAATGTGACACCGAAACTTAAAGGTAAGTTCTATAGAGCGGTGGTTAGACCGGCCATGTTGTATGGGGCTGAATGTTGGCCAGCCAAGATTTCACATATCCAGAAGATGAAAGTAGCAGAAATGAGGATGTTGAGATGGATGTGCGGGCACATTAGGATAGATAAGATTAGGAATGAGGATATTCGGGAGAGGGTGGGCATGGCTCCCTTGGACGACAAGATGCGGGAAGCGAGGCTTAGATGGTTCGGGCACATGCGGAGGAGGAGCCTAGATGCCCTGGTTAGGAGGAGTGCGCGGTTGGTTCTGGCAGGCACGAGAAGAGGTAGAGGGCAGCCTAAGAAGTATTGGGGTGAGGTGATCAGGCAGGACACAGCGCGGATTCAGATTTTCGAGGACATAGCCCTTGATAGGAAGGTGTGGAGGTCGAGCATTAAGGTTGTAGACCTAGGTTAGGGAGTAGTCGAGCATTTCTCACTACAAGAAATTGAGGATACGGCGATATTTATTTAGTGACTATTGAAATAAATGTCGGGAAAAAAAGAATTTTTTGACATTTATGACAAAATATCGTAAAAACTACGACATTTGATATAAATTGTCGTAGAAACAATGACATTTGATACTAAATGTCGTAAAAAAATGACATTTGATACAAAATATCATAAAAACAACGACATTTGATATGAAATGTCGCCGGAACAATGACAATTTGAAGAAATGTCGTAAAAAGTACGACATTTGCTACAAAATATCGTAAAAACTAGACACTTGATATAAAATATCGTAAAAAATGACATTTGGTACAAAATGTCATAAAAACAACGACATTTTATAAAAAAAAATATAGTAAAAATACAACACTTATATCAAATGCTGTAAAAACATTTTGATACAAATGACAAAAAAAATATGACCATAATTTAAATGTCATATTATTTGTCGGTAATTACGAACATTTTGCATCTACTATCGAAAATTTCTCTAATTTTTTGAATTTTAAATCATTCTTTGTCTAAAAAAAATCATCCTTTATGTTTAACATTTAATATTTAATTAGTGATAATTACCTACAACATAGACGATTTCTCTTATTGTTGATAAATATTTTAAAAGGTTCGTCTAGGACTCGCTCCTGGGCTAAGCATTTGCAACGGCTCAAGTGTAGGGCTTAAAGTGTGAGGCTTATACCCCAAACATATGATTATGCGCCCTAAACACGCCTATCACTCAGCGTTCGAGGCTCGCTCAACAATTACTAGATAAATCATATGTTAAAGATTCTAATTAATAGTGTTGACCCTCAAAATACATTAACAAACGAATGATCTTAACTCAAATAACGAGTCATAGTATTGCATATTTACTAAGTGAGAACGTCGTGAGGGTGAATATTATTTGAACATTTTTCCTGAATATATAAATAGCCGAACTTTATATCTTCACTCGCTATAATTGATTTTTTTTCTTAGTTTTTTATCTCCCAAAATTATTATGAGACTTTTATTATTTTACTATTTAAAAGTAATTTTATATTATTTATAAAGGAGTAATATTTTGAATTATAATATTGATAAAGTTTATTGGTTATTTACTTTTAGGAAGGTAATTAAATTTGTAGTTTGATAATAATATATAACTTTTAGCCTTATAGGGAAGTAATCAAATGTGTGTTTTGATAATAATTTTAACACTATTGCATTATTCATACTTGTAAAACGGTTAGATATTTTGGTCTTTTATGAGTTTGTTTAATCCTTTGATTTTTTAAAACTTTTAATATACTTTCTATCCTTTTATTTTCTTTTCGATTTCTTAAACTAAAAAATATAAAAATTTATGAAGCTTACACCTCACCTTATATTAAATAAAATTCTCATATCTATCATGCATGCCTCGCATTTCAAAATATTGTTCCTATTTAAAACTTTTTATTAAAATATTAATGTTTAGTAAAAATATATATATTATTATTATTATTACTAATACTTACTAGATGTTGAATTTATTTAAAGATGAAATATTTAAAATAAAAATATTTATAAGACCAAGGAACCCACAATTGACCATAAGTTAAAAAACATAAGTGAAAACCAATCGACAGTAAGTTAAAACAGAACCCCAAACCGTACTCCAAGCCTTACAGAACCTATCGAATCCTATCTCAATCAAAAATTGGGTTTGGCTCAAATTTTCAAATTGGATTTGGCAAGATTTTCTACAAGGAGCTATGTGTGGAGAGTATTGGAGATTTAGAAGAAAAAGATTTTGGCGGTAAGATTTTTGCTTCCCTCCCCCAATTCTAAAAAAATACAGTTTCCTTCCTTAGTTAGAATTCTTCAAAAAACCTAATTTTTTACATTCGGTTGTGCTATAATAGATACTTGGAGAAGAAAAAAGTTTTATCACGAGGTTTTTGTTGCTGAGATTCACAAAGCTTATTTGCTACAAAGTCAAGGTACCAGTTTAGTTAACAAATTTCTTTTCTTTTCTTAATTGTTTTGATTTGAGTTAACAGGCTTCTTTCGTTTTCTTAATTGTCGGATTTGGGTTAAAATTTTCTTTCTTTTTCTTAGTTGTTCAGATTTTTTTTTGAAGAATGTTAATCTTTCTAACTTGATAAAGGAAGAGAGTTCCGTAGGTTGTTTGACCAACATAGAAATAGTATATTGATTTAAATATAAAAGAACATATAAATAATAACGAACACAATGGACCTAGATTTTTATAGGCAACTCTCACTTATTTGGGGATGAGACATAGTTTGACGAATTGATGGATGGTAGAAAGTTCGTTTTTTTTGGGGTAGTTCTTTAATTTGTTTTACTTTATTTATATCTCTAATATGAGATTTTTGCGTTCTAAATATACTTACTAGGTTTCTTCTTTCCTAGTTGTTCTGGACATTTAAGTTTGCTTGAAAATGTTTGTAATACTTAAACTTTATGTATAGAAATTAGGGGTGGGCGTTCGGTACTTCGATACGGTATATATGAATTACGGTTCGGTACTTCGGTATTCGGTATATCAATTGTGAATACCAAATACCGTACCAAAGTAGTTCGGTATGGTTCGGTATTTTTTTGTTTGGTTCGGTACAATTCGGTACGATTTCGGTATCACACCTGTTGTATGAGAACTTGTAGGGACGTGTTGTCATTAATTACACTACTAAGAATTTAAGATAAGTAACCTGCAACACATGTTGTTTACACAAACTTTGAATATTCACTTCCCTGCACATTGAGGAGTTCGCGTGTTAGTTCAAAAGGCATATAAACAGTTTCATGTTGGTTGGTCATCTCAACAGATCATTACATGTAAATGTCAAGACTACAAACTTATTCCAAAAAATTGATCAATAATTATTTCCAATAACATCACTAGCTGCATTTTACGAGCCTAAACAATTTACCAAAATCTTCCCTCCTGCTTATTTTTTGTACAATTCAATCACACAACAGCAGTATATATCATATGCCTTTTCTTGTCTGCCTCTAAGCCGAAGGGATTAGGGAATTAGGGATTTTGGACTTTTGGGGTGTGGGCCTAAGATTACGGGCTAATAAATAAAAATAAAGTTGGGCTTGGACTAAAATATTTCAGTATACCGAAATACCGAAATATAAAAAACCTAATACCGTATACCGTACCGAACTACCGAAATACCGTAATTTTCATACCGAAATA